CAGGTTGTACCAAAAGTTGGCAAATATTGCACTGGTACCCTCTTTTCGTGATGGAGGTCGTCTCGCTCGATAGGCTTCCGATAATACCACGCCTCATTCTGGATCACCTCAGTTCGGGCTGTTAGGACACGAGTGCCTTGCCGGGTGAGAACGTGCGCTCCTAGCCAGTTGAGAACCTCTCTGTTGAGTTTGTCGTTACTCCCTATCGAGATGGAAGCTGTGAAGAAGCGGGTAATCCACCAGTAGATCTGAGTTCCCAGCTTTTGAATGCCCGTCAAAGCCCTTGGCAATTCTCCTCCCAGGGTTATTAGGAGGATGATTGTGGTGATGTCGAGTTTAAGCCAAGTTGCAAAGAATTTGAATCCTGGTGCAGTACGTTCCAAGAAGTCGTTGAGTCCTTGGTATAACTTTTGAGACGTTGCATCAGTGGCGCCAGTAGCGCTGGTAAGAAGTGAGGCTTTGGTGAGCCTAAAGAGTTCACTCATGATCGCTTTCACAACGTAATTGAGCTGTAAAAGTCTGGTGAAGAAAACAAACTGGGGGCCAGCCTTGACTTTAAGAGTCTTTTGCGATGTTTCGCGAGGCAAGGTACTTTATGAAGCCGCGTGAAGCTTCAGGCAGAAACGAGGCTGCCTGGATCGTCTCACCGATGTCCGCTTACCCTGGAACTCAACTGAAATCGGTATGCGGCGCTAGCCCAATGGATCCAAGAATCAGCGTGACGCATGACGGGATGTGGCATAGTCCAATTCGCTGAATCTAGATCGAAGGCTGACGCCGCTTGTTGGAGCCAATCGTTGGATGGAAGCGCCTTAATCTGTGACACAGTGAGACAGTCAGGCTTTGCTGCGGCTTTCCTCACAAGATCGTGCATATGCACTCATGGTTGTGTTCATATCGAAACACACCGTTCCCAACAGATTGGTAAAATGAAGCACTCTCATCGGTGAGAACAATATTAAACCAGATTTTTACCGTCAAATAAGTTGTGACATTGGCGATAAATTTACGTGAATGAGCTAAGTTGATTTCGTCTTTGAGAGGACTTATGAAACGAAGCCCTCTTGACAAGTTGACAAAGTCGGTAATAACTTCGAACTTTCACTTTCTTACTCCCTCACACGAATAGGACTTCTAGCTGTTTCTTGGTTAAGATGCGACGACTCACTTTGACGTGGTCCCTCGTCAAACATTGCCGTCTCTTTTAGATTTAGTCATGGATATCATTGACCGTCCCATGACTTTCAGACTTGCGGCCTCACTCTTGAATCTGAGGCATATGAATGAGTCAGTGCCTGTGCTTCTTCGCTCATTGTGAACAATTCCGTTGTTGTTCTACATTCGTGAGCCATGTTTGAGTCCAGATGTGCTTCAGGTCATCTGCATCATGTCCCATAAGCCTCGAGCATTAGCTTGGCACTCACGGTGCTCAGTAGGTGTTGGTAGGTCCCTTGAATAGGTAGTACAGATGCTTGAGGTCTCCGTGAAGGTTTTTCTATGTGGTCAGGAAACTTGGTTTCGCGGCTTAGACGTTAAGCCAATGAAGGCCGTGTGTGTGCCAGACTAAAACTAAAGCAAGATCTACGGCGACTTGACGTCTCCGCCCGCCCGCCTTTCTGCCAAGCAGGAAATGGAACAGTCTCACTCCGCCTTGCGGAGTAAGTTTATTGGTCATTGTCTACGAGAATCCTCTTCCGAATGACCACTTCGTTGGGTAATATCTAACCATTTTGAGGATGGCCTGCATCACACTCAGCCCTATTTCTTCCCAAATGGCCTCGTCAGCACCAGTACCACTTAATCGCAGTAGGGCGGACCGAACGCGGACGCTTCGAAGATGTCAGCCTTCAATGGACCTGCTCAGCTATGCGTTCTTGTTACAGCCGCATGAACCGTTTGGGATCAAGACCGCATGAAGGCGGCAAAACCCAGCCAGCCCTCTTCAACATGAGAGGCGGACCATGCTGACCACTTCTGGACCTTGCTCATGACTTTAAAAACAATCCTCACTATTCACAAGTAAACCAGCAGTGACAATACCCGCGGCGAATTATTTCTTTGTCTTGATGACGACCGATGATGCGCGCAGGTTGTTTCCGACGTATCAGCAGCCTGATGGCATTTGCTGGCTCGCCGAGTACTCTCCCCCTCATGAATTTGTTCCGATGGGCCGGTTATACGGCCCCTATCAGAAATAATGCTCCCAACGTCCCAGATTTTGCGAGAGCGGGTAGCGCAACGTGAGCTAGCTGGGTAAGTTCGTGAAGAGACATTATGTACAGGCGACCTAGGTAGCAGGTAGCGGCGATGTCAGCTTTCGGGGAGTGGTGGATTGAACAGCGCTTTTGCCCAACGTCACCCCAACAGAGACTGACCCAGGTCATTGATCGTCGAGCAACCCCTCCACCAATACCCTGCTTCCGAAGACCCTCTCGTTTTACACGTGGGCTGAGGGTCAAACATTCCAAACAAAGCATGCAAAATGACACAAGGGTCGCCTACTACGACGCTGTTGTCAGAAATCGGTGCAGAAATCAACTTGGCAAGGGAATCATCGGAAGTGACCCCAGTCAAGGACACCTGAAGAGAAGAGTCGCCGGCATAGTCGTCCGGGAACAGTATCCTTGAGGTCCCCTCTTGACGTGCGCACGCACCTCTTGACAAGACCCCAATCAATCTGAATTCGGCCCATTACTGGACAATGCGACCTCGTTGGGGAGTGCCGCTGAAGAATGCTCCGCATTGAGTGCGACGCAATGAAGCTCATGAGTCGCCCGACCCGCACGCAACTCCGTAGCTCTCGCGAGAGATGTGGCAGTTGCCGTACGTTAGTGGGCTCTTTCCAGGGTTTCCCGAGTTCCGGATTGGGTTTCCAGGGAGCTAGAGGCGTGCTAAAGGCGCGTCTTTCAGGGATATCACCGGGGCCGTAAAGCTGCCGTTTTACAAAGGTGAGGGGAAAGGATGGATTGCGGTGAGGCGAGGGGCAGACGCGAGTTGAGCGCCGGCTCCCATGATCAGATATCACTCATATTTAATAGCATGGCAGCGTCTTCCTTCTGCCAGTCAATGATTCAAGCTTTTGACTTTTCTGGAATTCCCCTGCCGAGCTCACCATCCTCGCTTAACTCTTCAACACAACCCACACACCACCAACCATGTCTACCACCAAGCCCACTTTCGTCCTCGCACCTGGTGCCTGGCACAAGGAGACCTGCTACTCGCCTGCTCAGCAACTCCTCGAGTCTCGCGGTTACCCCGTTGAGGCCGTTGAGTACCCCTCTGTCGGCGCTGAGCCCCCCACCAAGGGTCTCACAGACGATGCCAATGCCGTCAGAGCTGTCCTCCAGAGACTCGCCGACGAGGGCAAGGAGATCGTTCTCGTTGTGCACTCCTACGGTGGTCTTGTCGGAGCCAATGCCGTCGAGGGTCTTGGCTACAAGCAGCGCATCAAAGAGGGTAAGAAGGGTGGTGTCATTACTTTCGTCTACCTTACCGCCTTCGTTGTGCCCAAGGGCAAGTGCATCAGAGAGATGCTTGGCGGCCAGTTCCTCCCATGGATGAAGTTTGAGGTAAGATGAAGCTGAACGATTTCGCCATCCCGATATTCACACTTTCACAGGGCAACTACGTCTACGCCCAGACTCCCGAGGAAATTTTCTACCACGATGTTGAGCCTGAGACTCGCGCCAAGGCTATCGAGCAGCTGCAGCACCAGTCTGCCCAGGTCTTCGACGATGTTGTGACCTACGAGCCATGGCACGAGATTGACTCCATGTTCTTCTTCTGCGACGAGGACAAGGCAATCCCCCTCGCCGTCCAGCAGGGTATGGCCACTCTTCTCGGCCCTACGGCCATCACCTACTCTTCTAAGGCCTCCCACTCCCCCTTCCTGTCCCAGCCGAACGACGTCGCTGAGGGCTTGGAGCTTGCTGCCAAGGTTGGACAGGAGAGGGTTAGAGCTTAGAGTTCAATAAATTTCCCCATTCATGTAGAGAGCTCAGCGCATTAGATATCCTGTAAAATTTACGATTCATGACCACATCCTCCATTGTTACCGGTGACATTGATGACCATGAAGGATCTCTGGCTCAGTGTGAAAGTCAAGTATGAGCCGAAAGAATGATCACATAAAACTCTTAGCGCCGCAATCTCAGTGTTGAGTCTCTCGTAGTTCTTGTTGTATAGTAGAACCGTTCGACCCGGGACGGCTCTTAATGCAAGCTCAGATAACCAGACTGGAGTTCCCCATCTTCATGTTAAATCGCATGTAACTTCGAACGCGGATGAGGGACACTCCTCGGCGAATACAGCAGGCCAGGGAGGCCGTCTTGACTCATGTCGGGCTCTGGTGACCAGGTGTTTATAGTTTGGCGTCAGTCAAACCGCTGGCACTCGCTTCGGGCCGTCCCAAGCAGCAGGGTCCCACTTCTGCCCATATCGTCATGTAAGACATGAGAAGCTTAGATGAACACCCACGTTTCCTGCGTCCGAGCGTGCTGCAATGGTACCTTACCTCGCGAGAATCGGCGGGATCACTGTGTAGGAGCCAGACTAGGAGCCTTAGTAACAACCCCATGTGTCTCATGGGTTCTGCCTATTATTATTTTTCGGGTCGCTATCCGGAGGAGTTCCTGAGCCAGCCTTAAGTACGCTATACAAGCATGGATGCAGAGGAATGGTTCCCAATTTATTCAACTTGTACGAATTCCGCCTCATGAGTAAAAGGACATATGCGTAGTGAAGAGTATTGTGTGCTGAGCCCCTTCGTAGTAGCCGTCTGTGGCTGTTGCCGCCACATGTAAACCCTGTAAGCCTGTGCACTTAATCCAGTTCCACGAATGACGTGGGATTCCTCTCCAAGAAGGCGGGGGATAGGCAGGCCAGGCTGAATGCGACGAGGGTTGCATCTCAAGTTTCATTCTCCATAGGAATTCGTAGAAATTACGGAAGGGAGCCACACCCCGCTGCTTTTCTTCAAATCTTTCCAGTGACAATCGAATATGAGCACTCACCAGGGCCCGAAAGAGGCCGGCCTCTACAATCCTCTCAAGGCCAACCAAGTTCGGCTTCTGCGGCTGAATCCAGACCCCGACTCAGATGAAGTGGGAAATTTAGAAGTAGTCGAACTGCGCGAGGCTCCTCCATATTACGCCCTTAGTCACAGCTGGACGAGCCAGCACAGCTACCGGGACGTCCTCATAAAAAGCCAAGTCGTCACGCTCGGAGCTGATCTCGCCGCCTGCGTTCACAGGCTCTCGCAATTGGCAGGAAGCAACTCCGAGCTCGACCCTCCCGTTCGTCACATCTGGATCGACAGCATCTGCATCGATCAGTCAAATCCCGACGAGCGCGCGGCTCAAGTCTCCCTCATGGGCCAGCTGTACCGCAGCGCCATCAGAACACTTATCTGGCTCGGTCCCGACTCCAGCGACTGCTACGGCGCGTGGGAGCTGCTGGACAGCATACACCACATCTTCAGGCAACAGAATCCCAGAGCCACGGAGCCGAATGACATACCCACCCGCATGTACCGACCCTCTGCACACGAAGCCTCTGGCCTGCCGCCATGGGAAGACTTTCGGTGGTCGCATCTTAAGAACCTCGTAAGGAGGCGGTGGTTTTCTAGGATCTGGGTCGTTCAGGAGGTCGCCCTGTCGACGCAGGATCCCATCTTCCTCCACGGGGATCAGTATTTCCCCTGGAGTTACTTTGGCTGGGCGACGGCTTGGCTGCGCAAAAATGGCTACATGCGACTGTCTCAAGTGCCCGAACAGCTGCGCAATATCGACACCATGGCTAATCTCCAGCGAGCGCAGACGCTGTGGCCCCTTGATGCGCTCGTCTCAATCACGCAGGTCAAGTTCAACGCCACCGACCAGAGGGACAAGATCTATGGACTCATGGGTCTTGCTCGCGAATGCCAGGATCTGGCTACTATGCCTCTCGAGCTGAGACCAGACTATCAGATTGACGTGACGGATGTATACCTGAGGGTTGGGCGATACATGCTGCAACAAAGCCGCTCGCTTGCGTTCTTGACCCGAGCACGTTGTGTTGATGGCAGTATCACCAGAAGACAGCGGGAGAAGAGTCTAGATATACCCTCGTGGTGCCCGGACTGGAGCGATTTCAAGAATCCCAACGAGGGCATCGCTACAAGTCTCTCGTGGGTGCATGCCGGAGACAAGTCTAGGCCAGCCAGACTCGGCTTTCTCGAACAATTCTCTGCAGCGTCTGGGCTTGAACTTGAGATCCGTCATGAAGGCGATCCGCGAGTACTCTCACTCGTGGGTATCAGGGTGACCACAGTCGAGGTAGCTTTGCCGTTTGGTGTGAATCCTTCTCGCAAGGTTGAACCCGAGCAGCCTTTTACAGAGCAGATGACGCGCATCTTGTCAGAGGCGCTGAAGACACTCAAACGGGAGACCATATCTGCCTGGACGAGACAGTTTGTTAGCGCAACTACAGTCGAGCAGCATTCCTTTGTCGGCCGGGACTGGGAACAGTCTGTCGCGGACGGCGCAGCCTATGTCCATCATCTTCTGCTAAACGACATATCACTTTCGTCCTTGTGCGTAGAGCAGAGCGGGGATCCGAATGCTCTTTCCGTACTCCAGGACTTATCATCCGGTGGAGCTGCAGACTACTACAAGAGCCTGGTTCACAACTATGGTTTCGATAGGGCCTTCTTGGTTACGGCAGACGGGAGAATGGGCATTGGTCCATCAAATATTCGGCAGGGAGATGCTGTTGTCGTGCTTGCAGGCGGCGATGTGCCGTACTGTGTGCGTAAGGAGGGAGACTTCTGGCTTTTGGTGGGTGAGTCGTGTGTGCAGGGTTTGATGAAGGGGGAGGCCGTAAACGCAGTAGATTACGGGTTGTTGATGAAGGATAGAATGCGTTTTAGGTAGATTCAACGGACAGATAACGTACTTCGTGAGCGAGCGTCGCATTTTTATCTTCTCCGCCTATCTTTTCACTTCCACAATCAAGTCTTCACGACTAATGGAAGTGTCTCACAATCGAATATCAACTCAAGGACCCTTCTTGCTCTTTAGGCCGTTCAAAACAACCCAAAACTAAGTGGTCGATACCTGGATGAACACATTTATTGACAAGCCTACCTTAAATGGAACCGCCGGCTTAAGACAGAGAAATTTCCTACTTTGATACGAGAGTACTACAGTGGAAATCCCTGTGATGCTATTGCCTAGCCGTTTCAGATGGCCAGACCGCTGCCAACATGTGTCTTCTAGGAGACGAGTGGGTGACAACATTCGATTGCTAGTCTACAAGTGCTCTACCTAGCTCTCCTATCGTCATTATTATTCCTATTCTTCTTTACATAGCATTCACGAAGGAATATACATAAGATGAAAGTAGTATAAATGAGAACGGAAAAAGAAATAAGACTCGTAATAGAAATGATAAAGATAATAAAAATAAGAATAAAAAAGTGATACAAAAGAATAATAAGCAGGTACTTGAGCATTACACAATCTTTTGTTGGCCAGCATCCTACCTTATGTTGTCACCTGCTTCTCAGGATATATACTTGAGGCAGTGGGGGACTCACACTGAGGCGAGCTTGAGTTAGGGCGTCAGAGACGATAACTCGATTTGGCTGAAAAGCCCCGCGCAATCAGTGAGACAACCGCCAGACGTCTTTTCCCTGTAGATGAGCTGTCATCCCTTGGTGGGTTTGCAGAGGTATGGGTGGAACAATCTAGACTGGGTCGACAGGCTTCGTCAAGCGCGAAAGATCCCGAATTGGTCTCCTTGCTACTTGGCGTCCTACATAATGTATACATGTACAATACCCATGGCACTTCACCTTGAGGTCTACTACTACGACACAGGCGCTGGCACAATAGTCCGGTCCTTTGGTCTCAATGGCTCGATACTTGGTTACAGGACCGATTTGGGTGCGTCCCAATATTTAGGTTCGGGAAAGGAAACAACTGAATCCTCCATCTTCATGCCAATTTGCCACCTTCCAAGCATAGGCCAGAAGTTCTCGTGTTCCCCGATAATGTGACCCTTTTCATCAGCTTGTCGGATATCGAACCAACCTAGACTCGTCTTCTTTGAGCTTTGACCTGGCGCAATGCTGCACCAGCGATCGGTCCCTGGTAATTCCCCCTGACTTCCACTTCCCTGGGGCAATGGGGGCTGAACAAGAGTTGCATCCACACCAACGTACTTCAGAATGTCAAGAGAGAGGGGGAACGACGGCACATATGGGATAGGCTTGAACGTGGCTTGGAAGAGAGGTGTGGTGCTTGCCGCGGTTTCTTCGATGTCACCGGATGTGTCGTGAGGGAAGACTCTCACAGAAGTGCTACCGTCGGAGTTTGTTTTCCAGTCGAAGGTTGCTAGATGTTTAGGAATGTTCCAATCTTCCTCCTTTGTGAGCAACTAGCGTAGCGTTGTGGTGAATGACAAAGGAAACTCACTCTTTCGCCCATTCCAGCATGTGTACTTCTGCGAAACGTAGATCCTGGTGATTCTTGCATTCTTCTTTTTGATGCGTTTGCCGTTCTCCTCAATCGTATACTCGTGAAATCCCGGACTCAAGATCAGTTCATCATAGGGACCGACTGGACTTTCAGTGTAGCGAATGATCTGGATCATGCTGATCCCTCCAAGGGGACGGCTACCATCTGGGCAAATAAATGAAGAGTTCGCTTCGAGTGGAGAGTATGTGATCGTTGGAGGATGCTCTGCCTGCTTTCTGGGCACCCAGAAGCTGAAGAAGTAGACGTCGCCCTTGAGCTTCCATGGTGCAGGGACAGGGGTGATTTCGCTTAACGTCATGACGACACGATCTCCTTCTTATCGGTGTTTCGGGGGCTATGTGTAAGCCAACAATGACAATTCCCCAGAGATACTGCTGCTTGAGTAGAGAGAAATGGAGAGACTGGATTTAATGGAAAGAATATCTGGCGTGGTCGGGAACGTCTATGAAGAGAAAGGTCAGATCTGGAAAAGACTGGAGTCAAGGCGAGAAGCTTGCCGGCGCATGAACGGCCCTCGACTATTTGTGGGGAGTAGAATGCCCCAGCAACACTTTATGCTCCCAGCCCCTGGCCTACCTAGGATAGTCGTGGCATGTTGCATCCACCTACTCACTGTTGAGACTAGACTATTCGTAGTGTAGTCGAATCCATTCTTGCGGGGTTAAGCTCCGGGCCGCAATCACAAGGGGCCTCGGTGCTTGGCATTGCACCGACGATTGAATTGCCTTCTTCGGAAGAGGCAAGGGGCCATCTGATAATTTCTGGTATGCCAGTAGCGGACTAGGACACCTCGCTAATTCTTCGAAGCGCGCTTTTCTTCGCTGTCATCTTCTTTGTTGTTTTGTTTCTAAATTGGGGTCTCCCTTATCTACCTCACATTGGACCTCCTGTAGCCACCGAAACAACTGCGTTCTCTTCATTCCTGTAAACCACGTGTGCTTTGGAGGGTTCCGCTAGTGAACCGAACCTTATGATTTGTTCAAAACCTAGCCCTCCACCATGGACAATGAGGGGACTTAGGAATCACTTATAATACGTGATCAAATCAGATAAATTGGTGACATTGTGTCTTCAGGAGAGGCGCCCTCGCCTTCCATGAAGTCTTGCAAGTAACTACCATTCAACACTGTTAGTAAGTAGCCAGACAGTTGGGATTCTCATAAAAGATTAGGGGAGCACTCGCCATTCACCAACCAGACTATAAGTGCGTCTCAAATCTTCATCGCTCTTTGACCTTCCTCCCGCCTTCTCCCGCAAGCAGAAGAGGACACGGCTACCAGCAAAAATGCCAACGACATCGCCGGCCTTTGCCGGGTTGTCAGCCAGCCCCATGCGGCCCTTCTCAGAAATGAAGAAGACTCTTCCAGCTAATGCGCTGTATAAAGCGTCATTATAGGTTTTCGCAGCTCCATGCATTCCCGATGACTCTTGGTCAGTCATCAAAACATACCAGGCGTCCCAGAACTTGTCAGCTTCACCTTGACCGAGAACCGTCGCCTCGTGACGCGGCCCTCTTATCCTGACGCGGGATCCCACCAAAGTTCTTCGAAACGAGTCGACCAACGAAGTAGCCCCCTGACTTCCACTCGGAAGTAAAGACGCCCGTTCTAGCACCTGGGCTTGGATTGTCATAATTTGATCAAAGACCAACCCCGGTTTCCTGAACATCTTTGGCTCAAAAGACACCGCCCACTCAATATTATCCAGGACCTTACCTTGCAACAGTAGCTCATCTCCTTCGAATTTGGCTGAAGGCTTGCTTCCGTTACCCCCAGCTGCATAGTCGTTCTGCCATAGGAGAATCCTTTGGCCTCGTTGCACGGTCCAATCAGGACACCAAGTCGGCAAGTCGGGCATGCAACTTTTTGTCCTGTTGTGATGGCAGAGAACCTCGAGAGTTCCCGACGAGCCGACGGAAGCTTTGACTACATCTATGAAGAGATCTTTGACAGGGCGGTTGTAGTCCGGTTGTAGCATCGAGACCTCTCCGATTAGATGGAACAAGCTGTATACCTTGTCTCTAGGGTCGGAAGCTTTGAAACTCCGAAACCTGTAGAGAAGGCTGAGCGGGTCTCGTTTGGGGGCGCCTTTGGACCTTGACGCCTCCGAATGGCTATCTTGGTAGTCTTTGCGCGCCGTCATCAGATGACTTATCGGTGTCGATGCGATCTCCCTCATAAAGTATTCCTGTCCGCGCGGTAGAGCTGCATTGAATCTGACATCTACCAGGGTCCGCAGTGCTTCGGAAAAGGATTCACCGGACCACTCTAGGTCACCACAGACAAAAGCAACCTCGGTCGCAACTGCGAACTCTTGGATGACCCAGGATCTGCTCCACCATGGACTGCTCATTAACCTTTGTAGAGCCTTTTTCGTGGGCTGAGCATCTTTGGTGAATAATAAAGACGTGACGCGCCGATGGCCAAGCCGGTCACCCTCTCTCGCCAAAGCCTGTATCAGGTCGACGGCGAGATGAGTATCAGTCGTACCCTCGCCTAAGAAAACAATGACCTTCGAAGCGTATCTGTACACTGACCACATCCTCTTGACCTGCAGATTGACTTCGGGGCGATCATGTTGATTGATGCATACTGCATCTATCCACAACAAGCGATCTTCTTTTGCCAACCGCAGGCGACGTAAAGCCGTTTCGAGGTTTTTGGTGATCTTGAATGGTTGTCCTTCCAGAAGAATCTCGACTTCCTTCGTTGTGTCGCCCCATGCGTATGACAACGCCTCATACTTGTGCTGGATCTGTCCCAATACAGATGGCTTCAATTTGCAACTGATCGGCTGGGATCCATAGCCTGCAAGCAATTGAACGCATCGGAGAGCGTAGGCGAACTCTTGTGGTTCGGACCTTTCAGGTTCAGCATCCTTCAACGTCGAGAAGAGAGCCATCGCTAGGCCACTGCTGTCGGCAGACGAGGACACTAAACTAGAAAATTTGGCGTCGAGTACATGCAAAATGACAGCAACGCGACGGTCACTTCCGATGCATAAAGCGCTGTAGACCTGTCTCACTTGGTTGCTGTGCGATGTTGAAGAGAGAAAAGTAAGGGAGGGGAAAGCGGTGTCGGTTACTGCTCAGGACTTAGCGTCTCTTCCCAATTGGCTCGCTGGAGTTGAATGATCAGTGTCGCTAGGCTCATTAGTCCTTGGTGCCACCTAAACGATCAGCTCACAAATCAATTGTAATCAGAGCAGTACAGCCTTTATTGGCGACGTGGATATGAGAAGGAACTCGGATGGCCTTAAGTTGACGACAGGACCTCCTGAGTTCCAGAATGTGACTTTGGCCCCTAAATACGATGTCGAACGTCTCGACATTCCAACAAGCATTCATATATTCCGCTCAGACGGACTCCCTTTCTCGCAGGTTCTTTTCTCCT